TGTAAGCCTTCTGGGTAATGCAGTCACACTTGCACATTCACTGTTCTTTGTCCAGTTCAGTAGTAACTAACTTCTTTGGGGCCTGTCCTGGTGCAGAACTGGTACAATGCTTTTCTGCTATTGACGTGTTTTAAGTCAGTGTCATTCTCAGACCAGCCCAGACCCCAAAGCGGACCAGTGTGGTGTTCTCCACCCTGTATGGGTGGCTAGCAGCATGGTGGCAGCCCGCAGTGAGGAGAGAAGGGGCACAGAGTGCGGGGTATCTGCAGCCAGCAACTGACGGCAGAGGAGGCCATGAGGGGCACCCATGAGCACTCAGGGAAAACCCCCTGAGGTCCATGAAAGGGGCTCACAAATATTCCATGTAGACAGCCTTCTCTGCACTTTGTCAAATATATCAAAAAAGTAATTTGAAATCCTTCCCATAATTATTCCTGAACATTATCATTATGCCTAACGGGTTAAAAACACAAAGCAGAAGCAGCCCTCACTGGTCCGATAGTTGTTCTTAGTTTTTTTGTTGTTTTTTTTTTTTTTTTTTTTTTTTTGAGACAGGGTCTCACTATGCAGTTCAGGCTGGCCTTGAGCTCACTTTGTAGACCAGGCTGGTCTCGAACTCCCAAGGATCCTCCTGCTTCAGCCTCCTGAGTGCTGGGATTACAGGTGTGCGCACCATGCCCAGTTCCAGTAGTCAGTTTTAATTACGCAAAAATAAGCGACACAACTGTCAGAAATGAAGATCACCTCTAGGGGGCGAAGAGCTTTTGGGTGACCATTGCAGGCCGTGCAAGTTTTCCATTACCCCTTGGCCTGATCCTGGCAACTCAGTTCTGCTAAGATAAAGACAAGCTGTTCCTTGAGCAGAAAGGTGGCCTTGCCTTCCCACTTCAGCAGCAGCACACCGGGCCAGGCAGGGTAGGCAGCAGCCTTGCACAGGCGTGTGGCTCTGGGTCACCAGGACGAGCTGGTTTCTGTGGGGTGTGGCCTACATGATGAGGTTAGGACCAGCACAACTCACTTTAGATACTTCCACATAGTACTATAAAAAATAAACCTTCCATGCTGACAGTAAGTTCATTCCCCAACAGTACTAAATAGAGAATTTTATAGTATTTTAAATTGGAAAAAAATAGTGTATTCAGTACCATATAGCCCAGTAAAAATAACAATTAACTAGGGCTCCATGCTATCCTGACCCTAAGCCGAACTATCATCCTTTCAGGTGTCAGGAATATAGAGTGGAATCCTGGCTGCACAATCAATGACTAAATACTTATGTGTCATTAAAAGCCAAACATTATCCCTAAAGCTACAGCATAGTCATGTTTATGAAGCTAAGGACTCTTTACCTTTTCTCTTACACCATGGGGCTCCTAAAATGCAAAGTCCCCTTGTTAAAAACCCTCCTGCCAGTGAGGGAGAAAGTTCTTCGTATATCTACATAATCTAAACTATGAATGGGAGAAAGCATATACATTCTGAAAGTGTATTCTATTTTTGATGTCCAAATTAAGACATCTCTTCTCAAAGTGTGCCAAGGAAAAGTAAGAGTCTTCCACTAAAAATTAAAATTTTCTTTAAGAAGTTTTGTTTTTATTCTGTGAAATGCTGTGGGTTTTTTGTTTGTTTTAGCCGTACCATCCCCTCTCACCCTTTTGGCTAAGATCAAGTGTTTTTGCAGTACTGTGATTGAACCCAGTGCCTTTACATGGAGCTCCATCTCTAGCCCTTTTTGTTTTAAATTTTGAGGCAGAGTCTCACTAAGTTGCTAAATTGCCTACTCTAGGCTCAAACTTGCAATCCTTCTGCCTTGGCCTCCTGCAGTGCATGGACCACCATGTGTGGGGTTATTTTTAACAGGAAGATATGTTATAAATATGTGCCTTTCACTGCAGTGTCACTACTGTGGGAATAAGCCAATAGAAAAGGAGAAAGCACATCTATTCCTCACACACAGGGAGTCACTGTTAGCAGCTTTCCTGGGTCCAGTACCAGTAACTGTATTGTCATAGATGAGCTTCTTCCCCTCCAACGCCCCATTTAAACAGCCACAGTGTTAGGTGGCCTGTGGATACTTGCCATGTATGTCTTCTACCTTAGTAGTGACTTCCATCTTGGTAGTGACTTCCACCTTAGAACACATTGCTTATGTCACTGTTTTAAATAGCACCTGAGAAATTTGCACAGCATAGAAGATGGGAAAAGTGTACCTCCTGAACCCGGTGAGTACAGCACCTTATTGAGCACTGAAATGTAAACATCTGCAACAGCTGCCTTAAGCAAATATGTTTGTTTGTGTTACTACCTGTAATGGCTGTGTCTAGAGGTCCCCTCAAAGCCTCATGCAATCACAGGCAGGGCTTTTCAGTGGTGTCTGACTCTAGAGTGTAAGAGGCTGGGATTGATTCATGTTGCAGTGCTGGGTCAAGGGTGTGAGAACGGACAGAAAGAGGCTTGCTGCTTGCTTATTTTGCTACCTTCTGCCTGCCATGAACTGTTTATCCTCTTTGATGCCTCTCTGCCGTACCACCCTACTTAGGAGCCAGCCAGCTGATTCTGGACTGAAAGCTCTACAGACTCTGAGCTACAATAAGCCTTTCCTCCTTTAACTTCAGGTGTCAGGTATTTTTGTCTCAGCAACCAGAAAAAGTAACTAAGAGACTACTCGGCTATTGATTATTTCATTCATTTATGTCTGTGCTTAAGACTTTACTTTGAGGATATCAGGAATTATGGATCCTACCCAGACACTTTCAGATGCTAGGAGAGTGACCATCCCGTCATCTGGCGATTGCTGTAATGCTACCTGTGAGTGTCACTATGCTAACCACACTCCTTCCATGCTCTACAAATTTCTAGGGCATCCTGCTATCCTCAGCATTAGTGCTTGCCCCGTCACCCCACCAAGACAGCCAACTCACAAAGAACTGGTTTACCCGAGCTGCTTCCTCTTTATCCACCCTATCCACTGGGTCTTTTTTTTTTTTTTTTTTGGTTGTTTTTTTGGTACTGGGAATCGAACTCATGACCTTGTGCTTGCCAGGCAGGTGCTGTGCCGCTGAGCTAAATCCCCAGCCCCTATCCCAGCTGCTTCCTCTTATCCATTTAATGTAATGGGAGTACTCAGTCCCGAGTGAGTGCTCTATCATTTCTTCTCAGAATGCATTTTTACTGTAGGCAGATTATAGTAGTGGCCTCTTTAAGGTATTGTTATGCTGTGAAACTTTAACAGGTCATCACTGGTGTGTGCTTGTCTCCGTGTTTGGGCAGTGCCCCGGACAATCACAGAATGCCCTTACCTGCCAAGGTGCCAACAGGGCCCAACATCAGAATCACTCGTTAGGGGCATAGGGCTGAAATACTAATGACTGATCCCACCTTAGATCAATGGACCACAATACTTGGCATCAGTATTTCTTACAAGTTTCCCAAATGATTCTAATACATGATCAGGAATGGAGGCATTAAACTCAGCCACAAGGTGGGACTCAGAGCCTCTGCTTCTAGATATTAGCTGTGAAGTAGAAGGCGGATTAAGGGAATAAGCTCTGAACTCAGAGAGCGAGAGCATAAATTTTGATTCTGACTTTCAATAGTCTATGACCTTGAGCAAGTTACTTAGCTTCTCTAAGCCATGTGCTTACATAAATGGAGCCTACCTCAAAGGATAATATGCAGTTCCTTTAAAACTACACTTATCTTGCTCTTTTGGCATTAAGCTATACCTATAAAATATCAAGCATACAGAAGAAAACTGAAAACTTACGCCACTTACTTGGCTACGCAACTATCTGATTTAGATCTGGATTTAAAACCTGTGTGTTTCTACCTACTTGAGAAAATATTCCCCTTTCTCCCTGCTCTATTGCAGGCCTGGTTGCTCCAAGATGTTAGCATTGTGCTAATAAAAAGCCCAAAGTGGGGCAAAGCTGAGGACAGACACCATGCAGGTGCCCGATGCTGAGTAGCGAGGCCACGGCAAAGCCAACAGAGTCATCAGCGCACCGCCACCTCCAAACAGGAAGGTGAGCCAAGATGCACACTGTGATCTGTCCCAGGGCTCCAGGCACCTTCAGCGAAGCAACGCACAGAACACTGAAGAACTTGATAACACGGAACATAGTGGTGCAACCTGTGCCCGGCTCCCGCTGAAGAAGTGAGTGGGAGTGCGCGTGTGCGACTTTCACAGAGGCCTATCATGAGTTCGGTGTCTGACGAGACACCTGCCCACTGCAGAAGTGCTTAGGAGCTAAACCTGGAGAATGTGACTTTAAGGCTTGCTTCTCCTCTTACTTACAGACAAGTCGGCACACAGCACAGCCACAGTTCGGTATAGTAAACATGGAAAGTGGGCTCATTGATACTGGAAGACCAGACCAGTAGGATGACCATGCTCCCCAAGCTGGTACACAACTTCCACAAAGCCCAGGTGGAAGTGGGCACCTTTTTACATTTCTATTCCCTTGTAGAAATTGACTGGCTGGTTGTAAAATTAACATGAGAATGCAAAAGATCTAGAATATCCAAAGTATTCTTGGGACAGGGGGTATAAAATTAGAGGAGTTGCCCTGAATCCAAAATTGTGGATCCCTTAGCAGAAATTTTGCCATAACAAAGCCTTATCTTGCACAAAAATCAATTGTTAAAAGGAAAAGACTATTTTACTAATTATTTAATGCACATAACACACCAAAATAATGCAAGTCTATTTCTACTGAAACGTTACAGACACAGAATTCCTCAGAGTGTGACCTGGGACCACTCACCAGAATCACCTTTTAAGACTTTAACATGCTAACATGTGGTTTCTCCCAGCACTAACAAGTCATGCTCTTAGAGGTGGATTCCAGGAGGCTTCATTTCTAACAAGAATCTCAGGCTGATTCTGATGCACTCTAAAATTTGAAAAGTGAACCCCTAGAATTTATTAGATTTTCCTCTAAACAACAGTGGTCTTTTCTATCTAAAAACTTTGGTATCATTAAAGAAGCAAGAGTTACCTTCTCTGGAGGATGGTTAGCTATGAGGGATGCAGCCCTGTTGGTAAATATGTTTGCTGAATACATGTTTTTATATTGTGTTGCAACTTCTTCACCATCTCGAAAATCAAGAGCACATCGCGTGACGTTCAAAGCCTCAATGAACACACAGTGCTCATGGGAGTAGTAATCTTCACTACCTAGGAGATATCCTACAACAAGAACAGAAGATAAAAATTGTCAGCACAGCATAAAACTTGTTAAACAAACTAACATTTCGGTATTTAATTGCCTAATGCAATTGATTACCCCTGACAAGGCTAATCAAATGACAAGACTCATCAGAGCAACATTCTTAACATCTCTATATTTGGTAGCAGAAGTCATTAAAATGCTATAGCATAAAAATCCAAATCCACTCCTTATCAAATCTTTAAGAACATAGGCTCTATCATGTAACTCTTAAAATGGGTGAGTCCACTTAAATACGTTGAAAAAATCAGAGTTCAAATGCAATAAAGATAAGAACATCATAATCCTTTAAAGCTATCTACATGGCAAAAATAATATATGGTTAATGTGATTTGTTACAGGTTTTTACTGTGAGGTGATGGTATAAATGTTCACAAAATTCTAATAATGCCATTTGTTGGTATGAAGCATGGGAGTGGCTTCCAGGTTATTTACAGCTAAGAGAGAGGAGGAGTCATCTTTAGTCAGATGCTGACACCCACTGGTGGAAGATACAAACCATTCCAGAGGAGCTCTGGATACAGCTAGGCAGCCACAAGACCAAACTAAACCACAGCACTGAATTGAGATTTTTCTACCTATAGGGATCTCAATTTTGCCCCCAATTTAAGTGGCATCAATTGTCTATTTCACAATTTAGACATAAGCATGTTCCATATTTTCTTAAAATATTAAAATAGGCAGTACTGCGCATTATGGTTCCATGTATATAAATGTCCAGAACAGGGAAATCTACAGAGACAGGAAGGGAGCTCTGATTGCTGAAGCCTGGAAAGGGTGCAGGGAAATGGAAAGTGACCTCGAATGGGATTTTGTTTCTTTTCTGGTGGGATGAAATGTTCTACAATTGGATGTAATGACAGCGGCACACATTGCAAACCGATTGAATTGTACATCTTAATTGGGTGAACTGTCTATTATGTGAAGCACATTTTGATAAATAACTTTGCTGTGCTCTTAGCTACAAGGGGTGATCAAAATATATGCTGGATGGTTACTTTTAAAAAAATTATTACAGTAAAAGACACACTGTCGATGATGCCCCTCAAAATCCTCCACTTCAAACACTCGTGCCATCATTCTTGCAACTTTCTGAAGCATTTCTGAGAGTGTTCTTTGGTGAGTATCTTTGTAAGATACAATAAAAAACATGGGGAATGCTGCTGCTGAGCGGCATCCAACAGAAAGGCAGACTCGTAAAAACACGATGGTGTGTCCTCATCTACCTCGTTCACTGGATCTGGCACTAAGCGATTTCTGGTTCTTTCCCAGAGTCAAAATGACCATGAAAGGTAAATCTTTTGAATCAGTTCAAGACATCAAGGCAGCTGTGACTGTGTGACTACAGATACAAAGGAGGACTTTCACAACTAGAAGGAAATTTTTAAAATTCAAACATTAATCATGTTTTTCTGTCATACCTTGTATCTCCTGATTTATATATATTTTAAATGATTATCATAAAATTGGCCTAGGATTTTCTCAGGCTTGGACTTTCCCTAAATTGACAATTAAGAGTCTTAAATGGCTTATACAATAAATCAATTAATTTTTTATTAAGATCTCCTTTTCCACAATCCAATAAATTCATACCATTAGTTCATTGATCTTAAGACAACTTTTCATATGATAATTTTTTCTCCTACATGTATAATAGGAAAATCTAATATATTTGGTTTTTTAGGCTCTTTTGGTTTTGTTTTTCTTCTGGTACCAGGAATTGAACTCACAACCTTGTGCTTGCCAGGCAGGCCCTTTGCCGCTGAGCTAAATCCCCAGCCCCTAATATATTTGTTAATTAATGTGTAACAGAGAATGAAATGCAACCATGAAAATAATCTATGTCCTTTCATGGGTGATTCAAGTGCTTAGGATACAACCAAGAAAAAAACCTAAATAAAGCCTCTATCTTTCACTTGATTTGGGTGGACTTTACAAATCCCAAACCAGGCATGGTGGTGCACATTTGCAATCCCAACACTCAGGAGGCTGAGACAGGAGGATTCCAAGTTCAAAGTCAGCCAGGGTTACCTAGCATAGGAAGACCCTGCCTCAAAACAAAACAATACACCCTAATTTTAAAGATCATGCGGCTGAGTAATATATGATCAGTCTCCCACCAGCTTTCCCATAGAGGACACCTCTGACTGAGGCTGGCTAAGGGGTTTAAATTGTTCCCTAGCAAAGTCACCCTTCACTTTCCTCCTCCCACTGTACCTTCATGACTAACTGCAAGCTTAGTGATTCCTGAAAACAGAAACAGTGATTTCAGAAAATAGCCCAGAGCATTTGGTGAACTGTGGGTAACTGCAGCAGGCATATTAGAAAAGCAGACCACCCAGCACCCTACATCCTTGTCTGAGACTAAAATGTACCTCCCCAAATTCCTACACAAGCTTTGCACCTGAGCCCCTGCATAGGTTTTTCAGGACAGAAATCCCCACCTTACAATACGCTGCCAACACAGCTCTTCCTGCCCTTCACTCTCGAGTTACCGTTTCAGAGAGTGGTCAGACAACAAGATCTTCTGAGGCTGTAAGAACACTGGAGGTTTAGTTAGGTGTTTTGTTTTGTTTTGTTTTTTAAATCTTAAAGAGAGTAGTAAATGAGAAAGAAGCAAACAAAGAAAAAGAACAGTAGCAGCATACCAGTATTACAAACATAAACAAATCAAAGCAAGAACATTTGAAGTGATACAGAGTCTCAAGACAAAATAATACGAATCAACAGTGGTTGTTACATCAGTTAGGGTTTTTAACAACTATTAAGCATCAGAGCTTGAGGAAACAACCTCAGAGTTCTTATCTACAAATATATATGTCTTCTATCATTTGGGAGAATTTATGTGTAGGATATACTTGATTAGATAATATAGGAACTATTCAAATTGAATGCTCACAACAAGGAGAACCCCAGAATTAAAGCCAGTATGGTTTCTATCTAGATGTCCCCGAGAGCCTTGTGCATTCTCACAGGCAGACTTCCAGGAAGTCACTGAATCACAGGGGCTCAGAGCTCACTCGCTGTCAGGAGGCAGCTCTGGTTAGAAGAGGCAGTCACCGGGGATGCGGCCGGAAGGTACCTTTGTCTTGGCCACCCTGTGTTGGCCAACTATGGGATAAAACTGGGAGCCAAAGTAGCCTCTCCTCTTTTAAGCTGTGGCTTCTGGGTATTTTGTTGTAGTGATGAGCAAGTGAGCAAGACAAGAACTATGTATTCACATACATATTGGGCCAAACTGATCCTAAGCAACTTTCTGATGATCACATGAAGCTTTCATCATGACAGTGGCTCTCAACTTTGAACTCTGAGGCTGAGCCTACAGATGAAATGGTCTACACACTTTGGGAAAAATTAGAAAATATTTTTTTTTTAATAACTCAATCCCTGACTGCTTTAATCACCGTATTGAGATACAACTCACATGCCATACAAGTCACTCGTCTAAAGTGGGCAATTCCTTGGTTACTTAGGGCATTCACAGGGTCCTCTAACCATCTCCACCCCCGTTACCTGACTGCTCTTAGCAGAGTATCAGCTGTGACAATGATAGCCACTGTGTGGTCACTGTCCTCCTGGCAGCAAGTCACCTTTCACAGGAATGTGGGTGTTTGCTCATCTAGGTCTAGTTAGACTTCTTAATTCCCACAAAAGGTGACCCATCATGTCTACCTTCTTTTTCAACTGAATTTTTAAGTATATGACTTGGATTTTAATAAAAAATATTCAGAATATCCATAGTCTGCCCTTTTAACAGAGCATAGAATATGAACTCACATTTTAGCAAAAGCCTGGCTGAAAGCCTCCTCAAAGGAAGTACTGGCTGTTCCTCTAGAATTTCCAGTTGACAAGTGGTCTACATCCAAGTCTGATTTTTAATAGCTACTTGAGGAAACTGAGGACACATCTGGGTTCATCCAGAATGCCAGGGTTGATTAGCAATGCTTGTTAGAGCACCAGATGGAGCACGCACCCTCTCCTGTCTGAGGTCCTTGGACCTCAATTTTAGTTGGATCCAAGATAGTCTCACAAAACCTGGTGTTCTGACTGCATGGGTGTGGCCTCCATCTACATCCCTTTTACTGAATTTCACTTACATGCATTGGCCTTTGCATGAATGGAAGAGAATACCTCCACAAATGTCTATAAGAAAACCACCACTTTATTACTAAAATGATGTTTTTAAGGATGTTGTCCACTTTACCTTCTCCCGAAGGAGAACTTTCTCTCAGGCTTAAGAGCCAGAAAATGCTTTCCTTACTCTTCCTGAACATCTGGTTTCCATTTATCCTATAAATAATGTGACTCTCAGAGTTTTTTCTTTTTTTTCTTCTTTCTTCCTCCCACTTTAGACTTTAGAAATCTCGTATCTTAGACTTGACTATGAAGCCCACCTAGAGCCACAAATTTTTTTAATAATTTGGTGCCATTAATCTAAGTTTTCTACTCTCCCTGATCTTGTTATTGTAGCTAAAGTTTTTATGTTCAATATGTGTTCCCTTTTGGCTATGGCAGGCTGTAAATAAACCAAGCAGCAGATGGAAGGTAGGGAGGCAGCTAAATAGCTAGACAGAAAGATAGCTCAATATAAAAGAATCTGACAGAAAGATATAGAGCTACTGGCAAGATAAATAGGTTATTAATTATAGCACAGTTTGTAACAGGTTTAAAGGGCATATTTTAAAGCAAACTTTAGGTTTCACATTTATTTTTATAGGGCTATCAAGTTCATAAAATACTTATTATTTTCTTATTATCCTCCTATTACCATTTGTTATTTGTCATCCTCATTTTATTAGTATTGGTTTTGATCCAATTATGATAATTGATCCTCCCTGATATAATGATTTCAGAAACATTACTCACAGACAGGAGAAGGATGCCAAAAGAAAACCATCTTCCAACACCCTCCCCAGACAGAAGAAAAACAAAACTTTGAATAAAGTATTCTCCTCAGTGAGAATGCTGTAAACCTTTGTAAAGGAAATACTGTGTGCTTGCATTAGGTTTTACCTGACATGAAGTACAAACCAGGAGGCTGTATCCTCTGCAGGTGAAAAGGCTCCAGGAGAGGAACATGGGAGACCTTCAAGGCCCTAGGGAGTCTCGGGGCTGTGGCCAAGGGCCCTGCCAAGCTGCCACCCACCCCCACCCCCACCCCAGCCCAGCACAGCACTGTTGAGAGGTAACACTAGAAAGTGGCCTCTTGGGCTGGGGATTTAGCTCAGCAGCACAGCGCCTGCCCGGCAAGCACAAGGTCATGAGTTTGATCCCCAGTAGAGGAAAAAAAAAAAAAAAAGAAAATGGCCTCTTGGCCAAGCTCAGCGAAGTGTTCCATACTCAAGTTTCCCACTATTTTATCTGATCACACTGGGTGTGTTTTATGAGAAGGCTGCACTGAGTCTGAGCTGCTGGAGAAACACATGTACTTCCATTACCAAAGTAGGTGTCAAAGCCTCGGCGGGTGGGAAGGCATTCTTTCCGGTACATTCCCAGGTGCCACTTCCCAACCATGTGGGTAGTGTAGCCTGCTTCCTTTAGGAGCTGGGGCAGGAGCTTTTCATCCAGAGGAACACAGCTGGGCTGACAGGGCCAGATGATCTGATGCTGTAAACCCGTGTGGATCTTTAAAGAGAAAAACAAACTATGGATGAAAGACACCAAGACACTAAGTACGTACAGTACATGCCATGGCTGCCTGATTTACTGGACACAGCTGTTGATCTGGATGTTTAACTCTGTTCCCATATGGCTTAAGTGTATTTCCTCACTTACTCAAGTAGGATAATGAACACAAACAGGATTTGAAAAGATGAACAGAAACATCCCAACAAGCATGAGATATTTTCAACCAACATTTATCAAGGCATGATGTCAGAAACAAACTTTTCATGACCTAAAAAAAGTACCAATAACATAAGGCGTAGCTCTTCCAAGAAAAAAGTGTTCCAATTCCTGTGCACACAAATTGGTGTTTGATTAGAATGGCAATCTTTGAAGATGCCACATTTTTCTGTTAAGTGCTATTTAACAGCATAATGAAATCTATGTCATGTTTCTTACTCTACTTTACATAAACCAGAATCTCAAAAGACAGTGATCAACTTTCCCTTTAAAAAAGTAGCACAGCCCTCTGCTGGGGTTGCCTCACACACAGCTGCCCAAGTCCACACTGCTGCTAACCTTTAAGAAAAATCACCTGTTGGATTTTAGAATATTAAAATGGAATATGCACAACAATTGAATTCCTCAACTACCAGTGGGGTTACGCCTCTGATAAGCCCATCACAAACTAAAAATTCTATAAGTAAAAAAGGCATTTAATACACCTAAACTAGGCGCCAGCCACTAGCCCTGCATGTGGTAGGGAGCACTGGCCTTTGGGCCAGACCCTAGTTGTGCAGGCACCTGGGAGGCAGGCAGTTGGTGCCTGGGAAGCCATGCGGCGGTGTGCACTGGCACACGCTGACCCTCATCCAGCCACCGCCACACAGTCAAGAACTATCATGGCACAGAGAAGCAATGACACAATTGGCTGGCCACACGCTGGCCGCGGAGGCCTGCCCAGGGACATGCGTGAATCATCCAAACATGAAGAAACCCCTGGGAATATATGCTGCACAATAGGTTGCTCTTGCTCCTGCCACTGAGAACTAGAAAGGTCCAGAGTCAGAGGAGGAGCAGCTGCTGAACAAGGACTCAGAGAACACGAGAATACAGGCTAGGCCCAAAGACTCAGAGGTCTAGTTGACCAGGGTCACGAGAGCCGTTCGGAAGCTGGAAACCCGGAGGACCTTGCGCAATACCTGGGGAGACTCCCTGGAAGCCATTCTTCCCGTGACAGTACAGGCTGTGGTAGAGTAGCACGTGGAGCTCCAGAGAGGTCTGCACCAAGATTTCTGCTGCCTGTGCTGACAGTTGGGGAGAGGACACTAAGTAGTTGCAGGGTCCCAATGCACTGGGAGGCTGGAGAGAAAAAGCTACAAAAAATGGCTTTTGCTCCAGATAGCTCACTTGAGATGTTAGTAAAAGTTGCCTCCTTAGTATTCTATAGCCGTGACAAGGAGGGAGCCAAGGAGAGAAAACAGAGAGATCGAGAAAAAGCAGCTGCTTTTGCTGCAACACTAAGAGAAACAGACCCTAAGTCTGATTCTCAGGGCCCCAAGAAGAACTCTATGACTGCATTCATCTGCTAGCACTGTTAAAAGCCAGGCCACCTCAAGAGGAACTGCCCTAAGAAGCCCCCTGGGCCATGCCCTGAATGCAAAGGTGACCACTGGAGGTTAGTCTGACATCTGAAATGGAGGCCCCAGAGCTCAGACCCATCCTACCAGTTAGTCTAACAGGAATGAGGGGGCCAGGGGCATACTCTGCCTTCTGCCTCTGGCCAGACTGTCATCTCCAGGGAGGAGCCCCGGGTAATCATGACTATAGAGGAAAAAGAAAACAGCCTGTTGCTAGACACAGGTGCAAGTCTCTCGATTCTTCTTTTCAATCCTGGCCTTCCTTCCAGCCGTCACACCTCAGTGAAAGGAGTCACTGGTGAGGAGGTAATACGCTATTTTTCACAACCATTAGGCTGTAACTACTTGTTAGATCTTTCTTGCATATCTCTATCTTCCTGAGAAACCACTTTGAAGATACCACCATGTATTACAACAGCCACTGATATTTTCCTACTGATCTGTCCATAACTCTGTAATGTTTGTATTGTTCCTAAGCTATTTTGTAAATGGATGTATGTTTATTACTATGTGTTTCCTACAACAACCATTGAGAATAGTCAATGAATATTCAATTGGTCACTCATCTATAGCTCTATTTATTTTCTTTAGAAACCACTTTGAAGATACCAAAGTATAGTACAACAACCATTGTACTTTTGTCTGTAACTCACTACTATTTGTCTAGTTGTTTTCCTGAGAAACTATCTTGTAGATAACACTATGTAAAAAAAACAACCATTGATAATTTCCTACCACTTTGTCTGTAATTCGGTAAGTCCCCCTATTACTATATTATCCTTCTTTTACTCTTTAAAATAATTTTTAAAAATACACCTAACCTAGCTGGGCATGGTGGCACATGCCTGTAATCCCGGCACTTGGGAGGCTGAGACAGAGGATCACCATGAGTTCGAGGCCAACCTGGACTACATAGTGAGACCCTGTCTCAAAAAAAAAAAAAAAGAAAAAATCTAATACACCTAACCTACCAAACATCACCGCTCCCCTCAGCCTACCCTCGCTGTATTGAGAACACTGTGTCAGCCTGCGTGAAGCAAAACCACCTAACACAAACCCTAAATTTTGGGCTTCTGTCCATCTTTGTGGTACCAAGGAATAAACTCAGGGCCTTGCATAGAGTTAGTCAAGCACTCTACCCCTGAGCTACACCCCCAGCACTGTTTTTTCAGGACAGGGTTTTGCTAAGTTACCCAGGCTGGGTTCAAACTTTCCATTCTTCTACCTCAGCCTCCCAGAGTGTGCTAGCACTACAGGTATGTCTAGCAAAAGGCCTATATACAATAAAGTATTGAACGGCTTAACTACCTTATTGAATATTGTACTGAAAGTTAAAAACAGAGTAGGTATGATTGATATGGGTATGATTTTGTTTTGTAAAGATAAAAATTCTTATACTGAACCATTGTAAATTTCAAACTGTACATTAAAAAGGCTATTTAAATATTCCTCCCTTTTCCATTAAAAGGGAAACTATAAATCTGTGTAAGGACAGATTTTCATCAGTTTTTACCAAAAAATATACTAAAATGTAGTGCAATAGATTGAATGGCAGAAGCAGTGTAACAATCTTTTTATTAACAGAAAAGACATTCAAAAATACAAAAAAGGGGCTGGGGATTTAGCTCAGCGGCACAGCACCTGCCTGGCAAGCGTGAGGTCATGAGTTCAATTCCAGTACCAGAAGAAAACCTCCCCCCCAAAAATACAAAAATTACAATGCTACCCTTCTCAATTATTTTGTTCTGGAAAATACAGCTATTTTTTGCTATTTATGGTAACATGTAATGAATTTAGTATTGCTATTTTTCATTGAATAAAATGCTCTCGTAATTTCTGATAAGGTAGATTTCGAATGGTATAATTCAGTGTGCACTGCTTGGGTCTGCAACAATTTTTAAGCAAGTGCAGAGCTCCTAAGGCCAAAAAGCTTGAGGGCAGCTCCTCTCCCGCAGGGACAGTGACACTCCAAGGAATCTCCTGGAGGACAAGAGGCCTACGAAGTCAGTTGAGTGAGCCTCAGAAACCGGGTTAAGAGCAACTAGGCATGAGGACTAAAAACTGCCAAGACCACGAGACCATAACCCACGTGGAGTCCCTTCAAAGCTCAGCAGGGGCTCTGGCTCAGTCCTGTCCTGCTCTCCGCTGGCGGATGCCTCTGCACTCCGACAAAGTACCCCAAGGAGCGCTTCCTGGTGGGCCAGCTCTTCCCCCTCAAGACATGATGCCTGCTAGCCTCCTTGCCCTCGCCCAGATGCCAGTTCCCCACCCCAGGAGCCTCCGACTTCCAGAACACACAAGGCCAGAAGTGCCAGGTGACTGACAGCATGACTCTGGTGTCCATAGACACTGCCCGTGGGCAGCAAGCAGTCTGTCACAAATACATGGTCAGAAATGTGTTCGTGAGTAATTTACTTTTTTTGAAATCTCAAGTAGGATAATATAGGGCTCAGGGAATTAAATGTCATCCTGACTGTATCACTTCCTAGCTTTATAAGGCTAAGCAGTAACTTCAGTAACTTACTTTAGTAAATTAATATTGTAGTTAGTACAGAAGAGGCTCAAACTCCTCGTCCGTAAAAGGAGGTATCTGCTCCCTCATGGGATAGGTGAGAGGGCTAACAAGATAACATAAAATGCAAGGTGTACAGTAAACAACAGCGTCACATAGCAACTACAAGCAGTGTTATTAACACATTTCTCCCTCTTGTAGATAGGCCTCTCAGAGTATAGTATGGCACACATAACCACCATATAAAATGCACACCTAGCTTGCTAATCCATGGTCCTGACAGTACTAACAAAATACTTACCACTGATTTTCTCAGACTCAAAATACTGAGACCAGACAGATCCATAGAATTTTGCTTTGCTTTGCTTTAAATATCTGACAGTAAGCAGATACAAATGAAGCCCTCCCCGCAAAAAACCTTCAACTTCATGATCTTTTTATGTTTATTAAAAGCAACAATTAGCTTTCTGACAAGCTTTGATATACTTTTAGATTTATTTTTTGTGTACCTTTCCAGAGTCAAAAACTTTTGGAATCACACTGACAAGGGCTTGACTTCATATCTTCCCACATTGTCTAAAGAACCGCATGGAATACCTTAAATGTTAATAAAGTAGGTGTATTTTGAGAGTGATAGATCAGTCACTATCTTGATGGTGATGATTTCACAGATACAAACACACATGCAAACTTATCAAGTTGTATACCGTACATTAAGTGTGTGTCCTTTATTGCAGGTCCATAGAGCTGTCTAAAAGTGAACATGGGTTTCAGCTATAGCTGGGCACCTACGCTGGGATGCGGGCTCTACTCTGTTGGTCCTGCCCTGTGCCTCCGGCTTGTCATGGCGTCGGAGCCAATGCAGAGCC